GTTGAGAATGTTAAAGTCATTAGCACCATCCACATTAGGCTTACATAAAGGGTGGCCTTGGCAGAACTGAAAGCAAAGTATCCAAGTGAGCCTGGAGGACAGTATAAAATTTAGATTCTTATTTCTTTGGAAGCCAAGAGGACTCGATTATAGAGACATTTCCTTTGAGTTTTCAAAGTATTTGTGAAGAACGTAAAGGGGACTTGGTTTCCTGAACGTAAGACCTAGTAATATTTTTCCTGTGTAATAGATATGACCATAGTTTTACTCACTGGGTTTTAGAGTCAAGGAAACTCAAAACAGTTTATCTAGCGTTCCGGTTATGACAAGCTACCTTAGAACCTAGCAACTTAAAATAACGATAACTACATCTTACAATTTTGTGGGTCAGGAATTTAAGTTGGCCTTCTTCTTCCATATGGAATTAGCAGAGTTTGGTGTTTGGTGGTGTCCAGTGGGGAAATGCACCTGTTTGGAAGGTGTAAGATGCTTTCACTCATGAATGGCATCTTGGAAGGCTGGAATCAGTTGAGACAGTCAACCAAAGTGCCTACAAATAGCCTCTTTAGCATGGTGGTTCTGGATAGTCACTAGTCTGGTAGTCTAGTGTTTAGTGAACCAGGCAGAAGCTGCAAGACTTTTTGTGACCTCATCTAGGAAGTTACATAGCATAACTACTGCCATACCATATTGAGTGGAACAGCCACAAGTCCACTCAGATTCATGGGAAGGCTACAAAATCTCGCCTCTTGCTAAGAGTGGGTAAGAATGTGCAGCCGTGTTATATAACTTCAATATCTAGTTTCATAGAAACACAGTTGGGGATTAGTGTGTGTGTGTAGCATCAGGCAAAAGAGCATTTGGTTCTAAAACTTGTAAAGTCTGCAGTTTTCATAAAGTCTGTAGAGCCACCAAATAGTTACCATGCTTCCTTCAACTAAGTGTATTAGAAAAGTTGGGTCAGATTATTGCTACTATCCTCAGTTGCTTTCTCCAGCTTGATTCACCTGAGGCCTTACCTGAGACTTTGCATGCACTCAAATAGAAAGCATACATTGTTCTTTGTGTTTTGGCAGAAGATTTTATAATGATTCTCCAATGTATCTTTTTAGTCTTAATGGGATATTTATTTTTTATATTTGCCTCTTATGTCTTTCGCATTCAAGAGGTGAATCTCGGAAATGCATTTATGGAAGACGACTTCAAAGTCATGGTGGCAGGAAGGCAAAGGGTTTAGAAAGTACGTGCACTGAAGGTGGCACATGCAGCCTGTATGGAGAGTCTGCCTTGCAGTTTATCTTTCTGTTTGCATATAAGCTTTGCATTTGTAAATGTAGGCAGTCTTTCGGGTCGTCTTTACATCTATCTGAACAAGCTACTCTGAGAGAGAGCCTGTTCTTTTTCTATGGTCATGGTTAAAGCTGCATTGTTTAATCACGGAGCAGAGGTTTTATGTCAGTCCAGTTTTTGAAGTGCCCTTCACTGACCCGTGCTCTGCAGCCAGGATGATGAGAACAAAGTGAGATAAACGTGGGGATCAAGTCACAGTGCATTCATCTGCTTAGCTTAGCTTGTTCTGCTTAGATTTAGTGTTCACTGATACTTCCTAACTGGATTCCTCCATACTTTTACTTCTTCAAAGTCAGCCTTACCACCATCCTGACTTAGCACAGACAACTTCATAAAATAGAAACAGCTAACATTTACTGAGTGTTCACTATGGGCCAAGCTCTGTGCTCTGTTCTTTGCCTGTTTTGTTGCTTTGAATTAATCCTCTCATCAACTCTTTGAGGTATATCCTATTACTATCCTGTTTCACAGTTAAAGATACTGATTCACAGAGTGGGAGGGCTGGGATCCAAGTCCTGGTAATTCTGACTCCTGACCCCTTGTACTCTGAAATACCAAGTAATGCTCATGCGTCTGGCAAACCTAAGCTTTCTATCTAGGAAGCCTATGGCACTCCCTCACCTGCCCTTAGTCTATGACAGTGGATGGTGAGCATGTCAGGCACTATACATACCCCTTGGGGTGAGTGACTGACAAACTATCAAGGAAGGACTTGCTCACTAATAGCTAGAATCAGAAGGTTTTGGAGTAGAATCTCAGCTCTCTACCATTCAGTAGGTATGTATTCTAGTTCAATGAATTTGCTTGTTTGAGCCTCAGCTTGACCTTCTCTAAAATAGAGATCAAATATCATCCTTATAGATGTCTTACAAAGGGCCAAATGAGATAACCATTGTTCGGCACAGATTACGAGGAGCAGCACATAACATGCAGGGCCCATTGCAAAATGAAAGTACATATGCCTTTGTTAAAAAGTTGCTAAGAATTTCAAGATAGCACCAGCAGAACATTAAATGAAAGCATGGGGCTCTTCTGAGTGTGGGGATCTATGTGACTGAACAGACCACATGCCCATGAGGGTGGCCTTGAACATCATGGCCATTTAATGAATATTCTTTCCACCCCTGATATTATTCCCACCAGAGTAACCCTGCCTACTCCCATTTTCCATAGTGCTAGATCCTCAAAACCTCACTTTGTGGAGCCTGGAATCCAATGCCTGCCCCTAGGCTAACTCTAAACCCTGGCCTGTGGTTTGGGTTTCCCCTTATGTTACTAGAAAGCCATGGGTATCTACCCGTCTTCAACAAGATCCCACAAAAGTTCTGTGAGGTCTTAGCCAAGAGGATCTATGTCTCTTGAGTTGGACAAGAATTATAAAATTAACAGAAAAAAGTTACATCATTTACACATACTTAAAGTACACTAGCAACATGAAAAATTATATAATATTGACTGGCTACAATTACATTAAAATAGTTTTGCTTTATTTTTCAGTGATGAGCCTTTACTCTATGTTGTCCATCAAATTTACACAATCATTGGCACCAGAAATTCATCCTTCCTGACACTGCCTTAGGTCAGACCCTCACAATTTTGGTCCAGAGTTATAATAACTCATCTCAACCCATAGACCAACCTCCAGTTCTGCACCCTCAAATCTTTTCTCCTCACTGTCTCCCAAGTTGTCTTCCTGAAGTGTGTCCTGCAATCCCAGGCATGACTCTCCACAAAACACATGATACTGCCTTATGACAGAGCCTTCACGGGTTCCTCATTGCCTTTCAGGATAAATGAAAACTCTTCATTCTGGCATGTAAAGCCACTCATGAACTAATCCCTGTCTACAATCTCTTTAAGCTCATCCTTCCCCTTTTCCCATCTTCTCTGTTCCTTTCGTTTCTCATTACTCCCACTTCAGCACATCCCAGAATTCAGGCTAATTATTTTATAGTTTTGTTTTTCAAAAATCTTCCATATCCTAACTTGCCTTGTGCCTTTGTACTTAGTGTTCCACCTGCCAGGAATGCTACTCCCCACTCCCCAATTTCATCCTCATATTAAGCTAATAAAACTATTGAGATTCAATTCAAGCCTGTCTCATCTGTGAGGCTTTCAACTGCGACTTTCTGTTTCACACAAAGCTTCCATGAGTCACAGTAGGCAACACCTTGTTTCATAACTTTCTCTTAATCATTATGCATGTTTGGGGGTGACTTTGGTACCATATTAATCTTGTTATCTACAGTGCCTAGAATGTTCCTGATATATAGTAAATGCTATTTGCTGAATGGATGAAAAAAAAGTTCTCTTGCTGTTTCAATTGAAGCCTTATACTGCTTCCATGTTAGAATAGACTTGAGATGTTGTATAAGTCTCTCTATATTCTCACATAAACTCATTTTGCTTTTCTATTTCAATTTTATGGTTTCCTTTCCTCCTAAGAGAGACCTTTGACCTCATCCTTCACTTTTCTTTCCATTTCTGAACATTAATTCTTTTGCTGGAATATTTTCTTTTTCTCTACTTAGAGAACATATTTAAATTCCCTGTCTTACACAGAGAGAGGGATTGGTGTTCTGGGATTTTCTGCTGCATTGATAAATTAACATCTGTTTGTATGGGAAGCGACCAGGTTGTTCTAAGGCACTTTAATTCAGGCATGTGGACTGGGGTCTGAAGGATTATTCATTGACATCTCTGCTCTGCGTCAGTCCTGTCTGTCATAGCTGCCTCTGGGAAGTTGGGCCAATAAAGGCACAAAGGAGGTAAACAAGAAAGGTAGCCAAGAGAGGTGAATGTCTCCCCTGAGCATGCTGGCAACAAAAGGCCAGGGAAAAGCACCTGAGAAGACAACCGCTGGAATGCAGATGATGCCAGCAACTTGCGCACAACTCAGAAATCCATGTGCCTGATGATGGAAACCATGGGACCACTCTGAGTGTGAAAAGAATAAGTATTTTGCTCTACCTAGAAACTTTGGCATGTAAATAGCTCTTACGGCTGAAAGAGCTCTCTAAGAAGTAGTCCGATGTTGGCATTTGGCAACTTTACATGATGTTCAAAGGAATTCACATTTTCAGATGTATGTTTGAGAAGAAAAATGTAGTGAAAATTATCCTATCATAGAAAGCATTTTTTTTTACCATTTCCAGTGTGTTAGGGTGGAAATAATCGTGATCTTTGTGTGTGGAGACTAGAGTTTGGGTCCTTGCACAGTCACTAACGTGCTGTATGTGATCTTAGCCAAGCCATTTAACCCAACAATATCTAATGTTGCCCGTAAGAAACAAGCAGACATATTTAGCTCTTAAAAGCATTTATGAGAATCGAATGAAGAAAGTAAGCTATAGAAAATATGAAGAAGCACATTAATGCTTTTTGTATTGACTCTCAGGGTCTACGTTCATATCTACCAGAGCAAAGGCTTCTGTCTCTTATGAACTATATGATTTTGCCCTATTAACTTCAACTTCCTGAGCCGCAGTTTTCTCTTCTGTAATATGGCAATAACAATAATAGCATCTGTTTCATAGGCTTAAGTGAAGTATAAAGTCCCTTGCACAGTTTGTGCGCTCAGTAAATATTAACTGTTACTCTTGTAACCAATCGTATTACTGAATTCATCTTAATAATTTAGTTGATTATCCGAACACAGAGTTTAGAGTACCTGTTATGTTTGGGTCAGGCCTTCTGTTTTGCACCTAAGAAAAAGGAAACCATGAACCTTGCCCTCCTGTACCTTATGGTCTATTAAGAGAGAAGGACTAATCAAATAATCACACAAACATATTTAGTTTGAAGGCAAGTTGCAGGCTGCTTTGGTAGAGGATAATAAGGGGATCTGACCAAATATGGATTTCAAGGAAAGGTTCATCAAGGAAATGATAAGTGAGTTGACTTTTGAAGGTTGAGTAAAAATTGACTATATGGAGGAAAGAATGAAAGCATTCTAGGCAAAGAGAGCCACATATGCAAAGGTCCTGGGAGAGACTGTCTTATGTGAGACATGGAGAGAAGGCCAGTGTAGCCGGAGGGCAGACAGCTATGTATCACATAGGAGAAGGAAGGTAGACCGAGTTAGATTACCTGGGATTTTGTTGACTATGCTCAGGCTATTGGGAGTCAACTTAGTGCAGTCAAAGTGTTTTAAGCGGGAAAGTCACATGATGAAAATTTCATTTAACAAAGATCATTTTTGCTGCCATGAGAGTAATCCACATAAAAGGCAGGTCCTACTCAAGAGTGTGATCTGAAGACCAACAGCATCAGTGTACCCTGGAAATTACTAAGCCCTCTCCAGACCTACAAATCAAATCTGGGCCCAGCACTCTGTGCTCTCACAATCACTCCAGGTGATTCTGATGCTCACTAAAGGTTGAGAAGCCCTGGCTTGGTCTAGGATGTAGCCAATGGAGAGTGAAGAGTGAATGTATTAAAAACCAATTTCAGAGGTTTGGCTACTAGAATTGACAAGATTTGGCAATATCTTTAGTTTGGGGAATGAGAAAGAAGGAAGCATCAAGAATGACTCTAAATTGTACATCTAAATAAACCATCTAATCTGACTTTTTTTTTTTTTTTTTTTTTTTTTTTTTTTTGAGATGGAGTTTCGCTCTTGTTACCCAGACTGGAGTGCAATGGTGCGATCTCGGCTCACCGCAACTTCCGCCTCCTGGGTTCAGGCAATTCTCCTGCCTCAGCCTCCTGAGTAGCTGGGATTACAGGCATGTGCCACCATGCCCAGCTAATTTTTTGTAGTTTTAGCAGAGACGGGGTTTCACCATGTTGACCAGGATGGTCTTGATCTCTTGACCTCGTGATCCACCCGCCTCGGCCTCCCAAAGTTAATCTGACTTTTTATACTCTGTTGTATGTATAGATATATATGTTTTGAAATTAGAAAAGATGACCAACTAGGGCGTGGATTTTGGTTTACATGTGTTTATGCATGTACTAATTCAAGAGCACTGTTGATAAGATCTAAGAAGCATCATTATGAAAAAATGACTTCAGGTGAAAAAAGTAACTTATAACTTGGACCATCTCTACCATTGGCAATACAAGCAGGTTGTCACTGGAGAGCTGATTTCCTCTATGATAAGGAGAGCAATTTTTCTTGAAGTCTTTACTTGCCCAGAATTTCTCAATTTTGAGTCCCTTAAATTACCTTTTGAAATATCATGTTTATTTAAAAGTATATATATATATATATATATGTAAATTTTTATATATATATGTAAATTTATATATTTATATATATGTTATATATATAAATATATAAAATATCTATATTTATATATAAATATAAAAATATATTTAAAAAATACTTTTTCAGAAATATACTAGGACTAAAACAGTAAAAGAAACCTTGTTAATAAGGCTACTAAGAAAATACACTGCTAAAAGAAAAAACATAAACTCAGAATGTTTTTGAGGTTAAAAAAAGTCATTGACTGCCTAAGATTTTTACACTCTGTATAATGTCTATAAAGATTTTTTTAAAGTACCTATTTTTTTTCATACATAAAAGAGATAGCCAGAGTGAACATTTCTCACATTTTTAACCTTCTAGTTGCTTTGGTCTGACTATAGACTCAGACCACAATCTCCATTTCACTTCTTTAGACTCCTGATTTACCTGTCTTTTGCTTTGTGATGCAGCTCAGAAAGCTCCTACTCAATACCATCATTCCCAAAGCAGCTTCTGTTCATGGATTTTGAAGTAAAAGCCTTGTCAGAGATCCCTCTAGGTCACTGATGACCAAGCCTATTTTTCTCTTCCTTTCCTTTCCTTTCTCCTTTCCTTTCCTTTCCTTTTTTGTTCTTTCCTTTTTGATACAGAGGTTCACTTTTGTTACCTAGGCTGGAGTGCAATGGCATGATCTCAGCTCACTGCAACCTCTGCGTCCTGAGTTCAAGCGATCCTCCTGCCTCAGCCTGCCAAGTAGCTGAGATTACAGGCATGTGCCATCATACCCAGCTAATGTTTGTATTTTTAGTAAAGATGGGGTTTCTCCATGTTGGTCAGGCTGATGTCAAACTCTCGACCACAGGTGATGGGCCTCCCAAAGTGCTGGGATTACAGGCGTGAGCCATCACGCCTGGACACCTATTTTTCAAGTAAAGGGTAATTAAGTGCACACTAATTATCAGATTGGAAAGAAAATGACTAGCCTTTATTTAGGAAAATAGTGTTGTCTGATTGGATGATCTTTTACAAGACACCTCTATGACATAGCCTAGGCTCCTCAAGAAAAACTGTCTATATGATTTTTGCACTAACAAACAGTGCTTCTTAAATACTTTGGTAGTATACAGTCTTCTTAAATCTCCAAAGAATCAAGAATTAACTCCTAGTGTCCAGTAATCTTTAGGCTTCTACATCAGTATTGGCAAATTATGACCTGTATCTGGCAGGATGCCTGTTTTTGTAAATGAAGTTTTACTGGTAAACAGCCATGCTCAGTTTTTAATGTATTGTCTATTCACCAACAGCAAAGTTGAGTAGTTGAGAGAGAGACCATATGAGCTGTAAAGCCAAAAATATTTACCCTCTGGTCCTCTATAGAACAAGTTTGCTGACCTTTGAAGATGAATAACCAAATCTGTTAGGTTGCATATCCAGTTAGAGCCCTCACAATTTAGAAGAATTATAAATTTTCACTTCTTGGCAGCAAATCACACTGCCATGTGTGTACCTATGCAACGATCTTGCATGTTCTTCACATGTACCCCAAAACCTAAAATGCAATTTAAAAAATGAGATGTATTTCTGTTGTAGGAAAACGCCTATAATCATATGGGAAAATATTTTGCACAAATTTATTTTTTCACAAAAAGATTTCTTAGAGCAGGCGTCTGGTGAGTAATGCAAGGATAAGCTTATTGGCCCTGATACCTCACCTGAGTAGTCTGAGTACCATGATGCCTATCTGGTCACCAGGTTTTGGCTTCAAGTTCTGGTGAGGTGTCCCTTTTATTTTAGGAGAGAAGCAGTAAGTTGAGGAAGATGTCTGTTTTGCCTCACATGTCTGCCAAGTTGTGACTCAGGGCAATCTGGCACAGTGTTCACAAGTCTTCGTTAAGAGTTTAGTTTGCACAATGGAAGAAATGTTCAGTATGTTTGTTGTCTGCATATTCTTGGAAAGTGCCAAATTGCCACCTAAAACTGTAATCATATATTTATATGCTGAAGAACTGTCATGAAATCCTTAACCATTTCTTTTTACTTCTTTTCTTATTTCCAAATTCTCATCTCAATATTTCTGCTTTCTTACATAGAATGTATTTTTCATTCATTTCACAGTATTTGTCTAACATTTTAAACACAAATTCTAATTCTGAAACTAACTTCTTAAAAAGGACTTGATCAATGTTGAATTTGTTACATGTGCTAGCTTATGTTATCAATAAAATAACAGCAATACATAGAAGCATAATTTTACCTTTTTAAGATATCAAAAATAGATTGTTCACTCCTGTGATAATTATTCCTTTGGTAAATTCTTTAACATATGTTGAAATGCAGTATGTTTTGGCAGAAAGCTCGTGAAACTGAGAGTCATATGATTTGAGGTCTAGTTCTAAGTCTTCTAACAATTAACATTTTTGACTTCAGTTTACTGAACCACTCTGAACTCATGATTTTTAGCTTTACAATAAATAGTTCCATCTCATCATCTCTACAATTCTTTTTAACTCGAGCAATCTGAAATGATTTTGTACATTGCAGCTTAATATTATATTAGATGTTCAAAGAAACACTGAATTCTTCATTTTTAAAGTGTATGTATGATATGTTTCCTTCATTTAAAAAATGAAATGTTTTATACGTACACAAAAGAAAGATTATTGCAACAAATATCCACTTTATACCACCACCTATCTTTAAGATGTATTAAAACTAAACCATATTTGTCCATGATTATTTTTGATATAACTATTTAAAATGCATATAATACTTCAAAGCTAGCTCTTAAACCTGGCCTCCTCAAAGCATTTAACTGTGAAAATTAGCCATATACCCAGTATGCAGATGTAGTATGAACAGGTGAAAAATTATACCTGAGAATATTCAGCAAGTAAATGGCAAAGTAAATGACTGTTATTTCCAGTCTTAGAAGATAAATCCAGTGACTTGACCACATGCAACACCATTCAAATCCTGTACGTTCCTATTACATCTTGATTCTTCTTTTCTTAAGATACAATTTTGTATTTAGTGTTTTTTAGAAGAAACACAAATTGGTTCTAATTATCTTAAGCAAAAATATTAATTTACTGAGGATTGGAGCCAAGATGGCCAAATAGACACAACTCCGGTGCACAATACACAATGAGAGAGACGCAGAAATCCACAGATCTCCTAGCTCCAACCAAGGTACCAGGTGCATTTCAACTGGTCTGGTCCGACAGTGAGCAAAACCGAGGCAGGGCAGACCAAGGCGGGGAGGCGTGCCACTTCATCCAGAAAGTGCATCTGACTGGTGAGTCAGAGGATCCCTCTCTGGTATTCCCGTCCAGATACAGCACTTCCCCCAAAGCCTCAGCAATACACAGAACAGGGGATCTTTGCCAGTCAAGTGCCTGGAATTATAAGTGCAGAGTTGAATAATAATCCAGGTCAGTGCCCCTGATTGGTGCACAGATCTAAGGAAATGCATAAGCCATAAACCAGCCAGGAGAGCCTGTAGATCCTATT